TTCTTTCAGCGAATGTTTGCTGAGCAATTGCCATGTGTGAGATTCTGAGCTAGGAGCTAGAGAAAATGCAATGAAAAAATAGGCTCACATCCCAATAGGGAAATCAGACTTAAACAACTAATTAGGTAAGCAGTTAGTTATTTCATTACAATTTTAATAAGTGCTACCAATAAGAAGTTTAGGGGGCTGTAATAGCACATAAAAGGAGGAGTCTAAGCCGGTTGGAAGGTCAAGAAGTGTTCAGTAAGGAAGTGATATTTTGGCCAAGTTTTGAAGGATGTGTAGAAAAGAACTTGGGTGAGATGAGTGGAAAGGAGTTCTAGGCAGAAGTGAAAGCATGTGCAAAGGCCCTGAGGTGGGACGGAACATGATTTTTTCAGAAACTCAAAGAAGGCAAGGTTATTCAACTAAGGAAATCCTGGGCCTGGGCCTGTAATATCAGCAAGAGTCTAATAGCATAGAACTTATATCTCCTGTTGATTCATTGTTGATGATGACAATGATGATCATTCATCCTTTCAAAAAATATCTATTGAGGGCCTACTATGTGCCAGGCACTGGTCCATAGAACTCAGACAAAAGTCCCTGGCTGCATGGAAACTCCATTCTAGTAAATAGGGGGATAGACAATAAAAGGTTAATTAAGTAAAATATTTCATACATTAAAGAGTGATAAGCACTAAGGAGAAAGATAATAAAGCAGGGAAGAGGAGTAGAAAGTGTCAGGGTAGAGGTGGGGTTGACATTTTAGATAAAATACGCAAGAAGTCTTCATGGAGAAGAAAAGGTAAGAGCAAAGACCTGAAGGAAATGAGAGAACAACCTGTGTGAATACCTGGGGAAAAAGCATTCCAGAGGGAAGGGACAGCAAGTGCAAAGGTGCAGAGCAAGGAGCATGCCTGACCTGTGGGAGGAATAGAGAGGTCAGTGTGGCTGGGACAGAGTGAGCAAAAGGAAGAATGCTCAGTACTATGGATTGAATTGTGTTCCCCCCCAAAAAAATATATGATGAAATCCTAACACCTGTACCTGTAAATATGACTTTGTTTGGAAATAGGGTTCTGTTTGTTTGTTGTTGGTATGTTTGGAAATAGGGGGTTTTCTTTTGTTATGTCATACCAGAGTAGGGTGGGTTCTAAACCTAATCACTTCTCAGTTATAAAGACAGCAAAAGAAACACACACAGAGGGAAGATGCCAAATGAAGACAGACACACACGACAGATGCTTCTACAAGCCCAGGAACTCCAAGAATGCCAAATACTAGAAGCTGAAATAGAGAGGGACTTCCTCTGTCTTAGTTATCTAGTGCTGCTATAACAAAAATACCACAAGTGAATGCCTTCAACAAACAGAAGTTTATTCTCTCACAGCCTAGTAAGCTAGAAGTCCAAATTCAGGGTACAGGTCCAGGGGAAGCTTTTCTGTCTCTGTCAGCTCTGGAGGACAGTCCTTGTCATCAATTTTCCCATGGTTTAGGAGCTTCTCAGGTGCAGGGACCCCAGGTCCCAAGGACACGCTCTGCTCCCAGTGCTGCTTTCTTGGTGGTATGAGGTCCCCACATCTCTCTGCTCACTTCTCTCCTTTATATCTCAAAAGAGATTGGCTTAAAACACAATCTAATCTTGTAGCTTGAGTCCTGTCCCACTAACATAACTGCCACTAATCCCACCTCATTAACAACATAGAGGTAGGATTTATAACACATAGGAAAATCACATCAGATAACAAAATGGTGGACCATCACACAATACTGGGAATCACGGACTAGCCAAGTTGACACACATTTTGGGGGGACACAATTCATCCATGACATCCCCCTAAAACCCTGAATTCAGACTTCTAATCTCTTGAACTATGAGAAAATAAATTTTGGTTCTTTAAAGCCACCCACTTGCGGTATTTGAGTTATGGTGGCCCTAGCAAACTAAGACAGTAGGAGAGGAGGTCAAGGCAGCAAGGGGGAGGAAGAGAGATGAGGCCGGGTCAAGTATGGCCTAAGAAGTCATGGTAAGGACCTAAGCTCTTACTTGGAAGGAGATGAGAAGCAATTAGAGAATTCTGAGTAGTGGAATGACAAGGTCAGACACGCATTTTCATAGGGTTACTCTGGTTGCTATGTTGATAATAGGCTGGAAGGGAAAGTGGCAAATGACAGTGGCAGGGAGGCTGGTTAGGAGGCTATTGCATTTATCCAGAGAAGGAGGATGGTGACTCAGACCAGGGGGTCGCAGGGAAGTGGTAAGAAGTGGTTGGATTCTGAATAGGTCTTAAAGTTTGACTCAAGGGAATTTACTTGAGGATTGAATGTGGGATGGAGACAGAGGAAGCTAAGGAGGACTCCTGGGTGTTTGACTGAGCAACCAGAAGAGTGGAGTTATCATGAGTGGAGATAAGGAATACTACAGGTAGAGCAGGTTTGCGGGGGAAGAGGGGATGAGAATTTTCTGCTTCTTTTGCTAGAACATAAGCAGGAACTTGTCTGTGTTCATTCACTGATGTATCCTCAATTCCTAATTCAAGATCAATAAATATTTTTGAATGAATGAATCCTCATTTCACCACAGAGCAGTAAAACAATTTGCCAAGGTTACACAGCAAATATATTGTAGATCTAGGGTAGTTATACTTCTCCCCTAAGCCTAGCATCTGTGAGGACCATTTCTGCGAATATCACCTCTGCAAGGGCATCCTTGCCTGATGTAATAGCTTCCTGGAGCCGCCAAAACAAAATGCCATAAATTGGTGGCTTAAAACAACAGAAGTTTATTCTCTCACAGTTCTGGAGGCCTGAAGTTTGAATTCAGGGTGTCAGCAGGGCTAAGCTCTCTCCAAAACTCTAGGAGAAGATCCTTCCTTGCCTCTTCCTGCTTCTGGTAGTCCCAGGTATTCCTTGATCTGTGGCAGCATCATTCCAACCTCTGCCTCCCTCTTCACATGGCTGTCTTCCCACTGTGTCTCTTCTCGTCTTATAAGGACTCCAGTCATATTGGATTAGAGCCCACCCTACTCCAGTATGACCTCCTGTCCACTAGTTACATCTGCAAAGACGCTATTTCTAAACAAGGTCATACTCACAGGTACTGGGAGTTAGGATTTGAACATACCTTTTCGGGGACATAAATCAACCCATAACACCTGGTGTCAGTCAAGAGTTCATTGAACAGTCATACTTCCCTGTCAGTCAAGCCCTTCTAATAGCAGCTCCTACACAATTAAGTGACGTGAGTAATTTAGTACGGTCACCACCATTCAGACCTGCACTGCAAAATGAAAGATGTCACTGCTTCTTTCCAGGGACAGATTCTTGCAAATGGTGTGGCAATGGGAGAAATTGAGGTTGCTGCCAAAAATGGCCGAATTTACACC